TATATACATACATATATATATATATATAATGAAAATTAAGATTTAAAGAGAGAAAAGTTAGCTCTCAAAAGTTGACTCCCAATATTTTGAATGATTAGGATAATTTAGGAGAGATTTTCTTTTTCAAGATTTAAATTTTCTTTTCTTTTTTTTGTTAAATTATCATTATTTTTTTTTGAAAATATAATCTTAGAAAGGGATTAAATTTCATTTTTTGTATTTTTATATTTTTGATTATTTTAATGAACTAAGAGAAATAAAATCCTAACCCACAAAAGGTTATCTAAATAAAATGAAACCCTATTAATTAAAGATTTTTTTTGAAAATATAATCCTAAAAAGGATTAAATTTTATTTTTACATTTTTTATATTTTTTGATTATTATTATTAAATTAAAAAAATACCGGACAAAATACGGTGTTCACAGATGGGGCTTGAGGAAGAATTCACATTTCTATATCATGAGCTGCAACATATAATGTCTGCCTTGACATTACCAAACTGTAACCACATTCTCATAATAAATATAATTAGGATTCATTAATCTCTAGAACTTACCTTAATAATATCAAAGTGAAATAATATAAAATATATTTCAAAAATATTCAGGATCCTAAAATCCTTTAAAAACTTGTTTTAAACTTAAAATAATATGTTTTTTATGCACAACAGAAGCTATCAAGAATGTATAATCACAACACATTAGCAAACAGGGCAAAAAAAGTAATTTTTGCCTATAGGACACAGATGCAGTGGCATGTGTGTCAAATGCTATGGTATATGGTATAGATAATTACATTATCGCTTTGTGTCATGCACCGCAACAAGCACACTTGTGTTGTGGCAACATGATGGATTATTTGGAATGAACTTCTGATGTAGACCATTTTCACCTAAGAGGTTTGATTAGAGTGATTTAATTGCCTATACGTAACTTATTTCATTATCTAACTAACGATATAAGGTTCACTTTAATTCGATATTTCACTTGAAAATTGAACATCTAGATACAAAATAATCACTTTATGATATTTCACCACACTCAAGCATCTTAACTTTCAAACTTGTTCCATTACACTTAGTCACATCTAATAGGACAATATTCACCTAAGAGAACAATTACATTATCAATCATGTATTTTCGTTACAATTTGGCTTCTCAAACACCTTAAATCACATTACATAGGACCATTTCACATATTTAAATAAAAAACCATATCCTGGCCAAATTCCACACATCATAACATTGCAAAACATATAAACTTGCACTTATACTAGTATCTTAGCCCTCCTATCACATTAATCACATTATTACATATTTCAGGGCTAAGATACACACCATACAACGTAATCATAAAAATGCAACCTAAAATGTTCATGCATTCCCATGGCAACCTATAAAAATTTAATTTATATACATCCATTACATATCACAAAACATAGCAATACAATAACAGTGTCATTACTCTTGGCCTAAGTCTTTCCCTTTGCTTCTATTAATGTTTGAACTTGTAAGATAATAATCATAGGATGAGATAGAGTCCCAAAAAACAAAATAATCCAAAACTACCTATTAACAAGTAAAACCATAAACAAGTAATTAAAACATTATTAATTGTATGCTAATACATATACTCATAGTTATATCATCAACACCACATGCATGATCATACTATCCAACCAAATCTCCGCATCTACTTTTGACTAAATCCATAGTATACTCATTAACCAATTTTGTATAAATTGATGTGATCTCATCTTCCATGGAAGAGCTACCTAGCCAAATGTGTTGTATCTCACTTTTAAAATATGAATTTCTCTTATTACATGTAATCAAGGTGTTGTATACTCCCATACCACACCCTTTCAATACTAAGGAGCTCCTAACCATTTCATGATTACCTTGATGTCCCATGGTAATAGTCTATCACATGTTGCTATACTAGATATCCCATGGTACCAGCCAACCATATGAATTTTATATACTATTCCACCTAGGATGAACTCCCACCCTTACTATCATAATCATGACTTTCACACATATAATGCAATCATATTCCTATTTCTATATTATATGTATATCTAACTTTAGTTACATATACACCTAATATATATATATATATATATACACATACTATTTTCTCAAAAACCTTTTCTTTATTCCATTTCGCAAAATTCACTTCAGGAAAAGCAATAGTATTATATCCATTATTGCACACACTTACAAAGGTTAAACCAACTAATAAATCGAATTATCTAGTTATCTCAACCTTTTTGTTATCAAAAAGTGTTACTTATGGTACTTTTGCCCTTTTCATTTTGAATCTTTCAATAAACACTTGAGCCCCAACAATCGACAAAGATTAAGCACTGTATGCCAATTTTAGTTTAATACAAGTACTTATTAATATAATTAAACTAATTTAAGTTTCTAATCTCTTTTGTTAGGGAACTTCAACTCCTAACCACCTTCTGTAATTGTCTACAACTTCCATTAACCTCCTTATTATCAATACAAGATTTCTACACTCTTAAAACCTCACAATTAAAGCTAAAATTGAGCCTAAAACTTCAAAGGTCATCAACCATTAACTACCAAACTAGTTGCAAATCCTTAATTTAATTTTGAATAACCTTTTTTTAGCTATTAGACCAAAAGAAGAAACCCCTCAAAACTCCTTGATGCAATTTCTCTTTATCATAAACCAAGAGAAACGAGGGTAGAAAAGGAGAATAAGAAGATACTAAGCTTACCTAGTAAATGATAGGTTAGCATTATCTCCGAGGTGCCCGAACTTATTTGCCCAAATAGAGCAACTCTTGTTTGCCTTTCCCTGTTGTTCTTTTCCCCTTCTCCTCTAAAAAATCATGAATTGATCCCTTCTTTAAAGTTAAAATTCTACTCCATAAGCCATAGTATGCACAGTAAGATATTTCTCACTCTAACTCACCTACTTTGTCTTAGATCGCTCTACTTCCTTTCTATCTTGATCACACAATTGTCCAACACCCAAAATATCAATTCTCAATTCAAAATCATGATTAACATAATTAATCTACTAACTTATTAATTTACCCTAAACTATTAATTCGTTTCGAGATTAAAAATTTAAAATGTTACACGACACATGGCATGTCAATAGTGGTGTAATGTGTGAAATCAATAATTAAATTTTGGTTCATGTGATAGAACAAAAAGGGAGGGCAGAGTGAGGTTTTGGTGTGAAATTAATACTCTCTACCAGGGTTTGGTGGAGTTCATAAGTTGTATGCTTTCAATATGTCATATTGTATATTAACAAAACTTAGGGCATCCATTTTGTAATATGAGCATGTGATTCCATTTCTATTTAACTTGTGTGGCAGTCATGCAATTATCATCCTTGATATTCATGTTTGTAATTACATGAAGAAGGAATCTTTTTGATGTTATAGAGACTATGATTTGAGTATAGAGCTATTTTGTTAAAAAAATTTTATAGTTTTATTAGGTGGCTATAATCAAACTAGTGGTTTGGCTCGTGTATTGGTGATGTTATGTTATGCCCAAGTCATTGGTTTGTATGTGAGTTGGTCAAGTGTTCCAATGTCTAGTATTGACTTTAGGGGTTGAGAAAATGAGAGTTGTTTGGGAGAAAGAGTGTTTTGTGACCATCATGCGTTTTTATGTATAACTCTCATATGATTGAATTCTTGTGTCAAATCAAAGCTAGTGGTTACAATATGTGATAAGTTTCTTATGGACACTTAAATAACTCAATTTCAATGTGTGTAGGGAAAGTTATGGTGTACTAAAGTTCAAAAGTATTGTTTATTTTGGTATTTTTGATGATACAATGCTGTGCGTTGTGGCATATATGTCATTGGTTGCGATGCTCGACATAGAAAGAGAATTGCCTCTCTGTATCATGCGTTATGGTGGATAATGCATTTGCTGTGACGCATGGCCTTTGTGAAGGAAAACATTGCTCCATTTTAAATTGTTAACAGTAAGGACACTATTGCTCTATTTTTAATTGTTGAATGGGAATTTTGCATAAACAAAAAATTGTGATACCAAGCATTCCTTTATGAATAGTTGAAAAGTAAAAATACTTTATAAATTTATGAACTTGATGAAAGTTGATATTTTAGGACTTAATTGCTATATATATATATATATATTTTCTAATCTATTTATATTATGGATTATGGATATGGATCAATGTTTTCAAAACTTGATCGGACATTAAATTGAAAGGCTAATAGTTCATTGTTTATATGGTCTAATTGGATTAGATTAATGGTCGAATTGATAATGTAATAATTAAATAAAAATAATATTAAATGTATATATAAATAAATATAAAAAAATATATATAGGATGTTAATAAAATGATATAATATGACTGTAAATTAATAATATTATAAATTATAATTCTATAAGTTATCAAATATAAGTAGATCTTGGTCAAATTAAATATAAATAGATTCAAAAGTATTTGTATTTGTATATATAATTGTCAACATTTTTATAAAAATGATTTTAAATTATATTTTATATATTTAAATTATTTAAAAATAAAGTTGGCTTTTAATAAGAATTATTTTTTTAATTTTTTCATTTTTTAAATTTTAAATTTTTTTAATATTATATTTAAATCTGTCTTATTTTTTAAAAAACCGTTCCAGTTCCCCATTTAACTCTAACTTTTAACTTAATAATAACTTAACTCTAATTTAAATTGATTCAATCATAAAAACAGTTTTTCATCAGGACACTGATTCTTAAATAAGTGAAATGGATATGCGGGTTGACGAAAAGTCAAAAACCCGTAAATGCTTCGTCCGGTTGACACTGACGCCCGCGCGTCGCTTTAGTTAGTTCATCACATACAAGTTACTTCGTTACGAGTCGATAATTGTAAGGATTAACACAATCTTGACCGTTCATTTGTTCAGCCACTGAAATCCAACGGTCAAGGTTCCATGAAGCTACCTGCTTTTAAACTAGTTCATCTCTCACGCGGCGTCACGCAACAGGATATTCCTTCGTCTCGAAGATAACTCTGATAACTGATTTCTTAGTCTCGCAGATATCTGCGAATTCTCCATGCAAGAACCCGAGCTGCACGATTTGTCCGACGACGCGGACTACGCTGCGTCACTTCAACAAGTAAGATTGTTGTCTTTTAACAACTCAACTACGGTGCCAAATTTCGACAGTATTATTATTATTTTTTTGTTGGGTTGTTGGTTTCTTTGCTCGAATTCCAGTCTATAAAGAGTTATATGATCGAGTTATACTGAACAAATTTCTATTTTCTGTTGTATGTTTGTGAATTCAACTAAGTCTTGGAATTTTGGGGGTTTTAATTTTGAATTAGGGGTCAGCAAGCATGATGCTAAGAAGCGACAGTGCTAAATCGAGCTCGTCTAGGGAGCCGGATGGTGCTGAGATGGTCTATACGAGGGACAACGTCGCAATTCATCCGTCTCATTTTGCGTCCGAGAGGATAAGCGGAAGACTGAAGTTGATTAAGCAAAGCTCTTCTTTGTTTATGGTAATAACTAATTCTGTACGCACAATTTTAAAGGGTACCGTTGTTATCTGTGGCCATTTCCGAGTAGTTGTCGATTCTATTTATTACAGACGTGGATACCATATATAGGTCACAGCTCAACTGCAAAGCTGTCGGAGAAAGGTACGCTGACTTTTATAGTATAGTTTCAGTCGGCTTATATATAATTTATCATAGACACATACCTTGAAGTTTGTTCTATTACTTGTGTAGACAAAAATCTTTACACCATAAGGGCGGTTCCAGTTTCTGACGTAAGATCCATCCGGAGGCATGCCCCGCCACTTGGGTGGCAATATATCATTATTGTTCTGTCTTCAGGTTAGCCTCACCTGTCAATCTAACAGACTTCGACGTGGGTTTTTTTTTAATTGTATATTTTCTCTGCCTATGTTTATAGCCAATTCCAAACCTGGATAAAGGAGGAATGTTGTGTTAGACTATCAACAGTCAATGTAAAAGTTTGTTGAATCTATCTTGAATATGGACAATAGACATTATAATGTTAATGTTAGGTCGTTGCCCATAAGTAACCCGTTACATGGCTCAATTACAGTGATAAGTGAGATAGAGCCGTTGCATCGGCACTCGGATGTAGTATTAAATGAACAAGAGCTACCGCGTTATTCTGAACATGCGCAGCTAAAGAGGTTAGTCCATGAGAACAAAATTAGATTTGATACTTGGATTGTTGGGACATTGAATTGTAAATCTGTAGAGGTTGTAGGGGTTATGATTCAAAGGAAAATCAATATCCTTTGCCTGCAAGAAACAAAATGGCATGGAGAAGAAGTTAAGGATATTCAAGATTTCAAACTTTGGTATACAGGAAAAGTAGGCGCACGCAATGGAGTAGGCATTATTATGGATAAGGAGTGGAAGAAGAACGTTGTAGAAGTTAGCAGAATTGGAGACAGAATTGTTTCCTTAAAAATGATAATTAGACGTGAGACTATTAATATTGTCAGCGTTTATGCGCCTCAAGTCAGGACAGAAGCCAGTCTTAAGAAATTATTTTGGGAGGATCTCGAGGGGTTGATTCAACACATACCACAGAGTGAAAAGATTTTTATTGGAGGAAACTTTAATGCGCATGTCGGGAGGGAGGCTGATCACTATGCGTGGGTGCATGGTGGTTTTGGTTTTGGAGAGCTAAACAATGAAAGACAAACTCTTTTGATTTCTCATTGGCGTATGATTTTAAAATTGCTAACACTTGTTTCAAGAAGAGAGATGAGCATCTTAGCACTTACAAAAGTGGAGCCTCAAGGTCACAGATTGATTTTCTTTTGGTTAGGAACACAGATAGAAGACTTTGTAACAATTGCAAGGTGATTCCCAAGAATGTTGTAACGATATAACATAGGGTCCTAGTCGTTGATGTGTGTATTATGAGTAAAATTTAAAAACGTCGACAAGTAGTAGCACCAAGAATTAGGTGGTGGCAATTAAAAGGTGAGAAGCAAGATATTTTTAAGGGAAGTCTTTTGGACAAAGGAATTTGGGAATCTCAGGGAAGTGCTAACATCATGTGGGAGGATATGGCTAAAAAGATGCGGGGAGGTTGCAAAAATAGTTTTGGGAGAATCAATAGGTTTTGGTCTGAGAGATAAGGAGTTTTGGTGGTAGAATAATAGTGTATAGGATAAAATCAAGCATAAGAAGAACTGTTTTAAAGCCATACATTTGTGTAACAATGGGGAAAATTGAATGAGGAAAATTGAGAAAGGTACCGTATTGTTAAGAAGGAAATTAAGAGAGTTGTGGGTGAAGCTTGCTTTAAAGCTTTTGAAGAATTTTATAAGAGTCTTGAGATGAAGGAAGGAGAACGAAACATTTATAAGATTGCTAAGAGTACGGAAAGAAAATTAAGAGATCTAGAATAGGTAAGATGTATAAAGGATGAAGAGGGAAGAATTTTAGTTACAGATGATGAAATTAAAAATAGATGGGAAACTTACTTTTTCAAACTTTTCAATGATGGAGAGGGTTCATCTAATAACTCGGATGATTTAGTAATCGATGAAGGAGAACAAAATTTGTTATTCTATCGAGTAATACGTGATAAGGAGATAAAGGAAGCTCTTAAGAAAATGGCAAATGGTAGAGCCAACGGATCTGATTGTATATCTATTGAAGTATGAAAATGTTTAGGTGAAGAAGGGGTGAGATGGTTAATTAAATTATTTAATGTGATTTTACGGTCCAAGAAAATGTTGAATGAGTGGAGGAGGAGTACATTAATTCCTATTTATAAAAATAAAAAGGATATTTAGAATTATATTAATTATAGAGATTAAACTCATGAGTCACACAATGAAATTATGGGAGAAAGTAATTGAGCATAGATTGAAATTGGAGACAAGTATTTCTGAGAATCAGTTTGGTTTTATGCCAGGTAAGATCCACTACAGAGGCGATTTATCTACTAAGGGACAAGTATCATTGTAAATATAAAGATTTATACATGGTTTTTATTGATTTAAAAAAAGTTTATGACCATACCAAGAGAAGTGCTTTGGAAAGTCCTGGAAAAAAAGAGTATACGGATTGCTTATATTAAAGTCATACAGGATATGTATGAGGGGTTAAAAACTATTATAAGAACGCCTAGTGGTCAAACAAAGGATTTTTTTTATAAATATTGAATTATATCAGAGATCATCTTTGAGTCCTTATTTGTTTAACTTGATGTTAAATGTTTTGACAGAACATATTCAAAGGAAAATTTTCAAATATATGCTCTTTGCGGATAATATAGTTCTTATAGCAGAGACAAGAGAAGAGGTTAATTGCAAACTTTGAGTTAGGGAGGAGGACATTGAAGTCGAAAGGTTTCTGTCTGATTAGGAGTAAGACGGAATATTTTTATTGTAAATTTGGTAAGAAACTAGTTGATAGTAATTTGAAAGTGAAATTAGGAGATCAAATTATGCCTCAAATGAAAAAGTTTAGATATTTGGGAGCCATTATTCAAAATGATGGCGAAATCAATGGGGATATTTTACATAAGATTCAAGTTTGGTGGTTTAATATGGGAAAAGCTAAAGAAGTTATTTGTGACTATAAGGTGCCTAATAAACTTAAAGAAAAGTTTTATTGTACTGCTATCAGACCGGCCATGTTATATAGTAGTGAATGTTGGGCTCTAACGGGACAGCAAGAGCATAAAGTTGGAGTAGTAAATATGAGAATGTTACGATGGATGTGTGGACATACATGTAAAGATAAAATTCGAAATGAGTACGCATGCAAAAAAGTGAGGGTAGCACCTATTGAGGAAAAAAGAGTAGAAAATCGATTGAGATTGTTTAGGCATGTACAAAGAAGAATATGGGAGGCACTAGTGAGAAGAGTGGAACATATAATTTTGAGCTCGATTAAGAGGGGTAGAAGAAGGCCTAAGCGAACATTTTTGGAAGTTGTTGAACGCGATCTCTTAATTAATAATATTTCTTAAAGCTTAATAAATGATAGAGCACAATGACGTCTTGCAATTCATATAGCCGACCTCACCTAGTGGGATAAAGGCTTTTTGTTGTTGTTGTTGTATATGTTTTCTACCTTGTAAGAGTTATCTTTCCTCGGTCAAGTCTCTTCAATAGGATGGCACTCATCATTTGTGTTATTTGTATAAAATAAAATTCATCGACAATGTTAGTTTGTTACCTACATGATAAATCCACTCATAACTACATGCACAGAAAGTTTAAGGCGATGACTGTCAATGAATTTTTGTTACAGTGGGCGATTCAATTCCGTTGGGCACTTCATTAAAATAACCGATGTGGCAGCATGAAATTTGTATCAATCAACTTTCAAATTGGCACAAACATTACAATAAATTTCCTGCGCAAACTACAAAAACGTGTATGACCTATTCTATGAGAGCAGTTATGTTTTACTGGTTTTGGGGCTTGGAAAGGTTGCTTCTTTTATCTGTACAGGAAAAAATTATAAATCCCGAAAGGTCCTTGATGTGGGTTGTATACTTCTTTGACCTTTATGTTTGCATTATACTAAACTTTTCATATCAATGACTATTATACATGGACACAGGACACCTTTTTTTTTTTTTTTGGTCCCGAAAGATGTTTGTACGTGACACTAGTTTCGGCGAGAGAATTAGCATACTATTAAAAGAACCGTTTTGACATGTTTTAGAGCCATTTTGACATATGTGGTGTTCTCTTGCTGGGTTTTAGTGCATTTCAAATCTGCATTACATCATTTTCAGTGATGATTTGATGGATTTCTTCACACTTTCAATGAAAATCAAGTTCATCTGCATGCTTTTACACTATATAAAACATGCAGGCCACTTTTTTTTTTTTTTAAAGCAAAAAAAAAAAATACAGGGCTTGTATATGAGATGAAGGCGTATGTCTTATACATTTTTGACATAGGATACAGTGGGAAATTGCTGCATCCATACTATCTAAATAGGTAATATGCTTTGTAGTATGCGATATATGTTTTTACTTGACCAAACACTATTTTGACATTAAGTGGAAGTAAAACTAACAAATGATTTCTATCCTGAATCTGTAGGATTCAGTTATACTAATTGAGAGCATTTGATTTTTTATTTTTTTATTTTATTATTATTATCTTTGAGCTGAAAGCATTTGATTTAATTTCACTTGTGCAAGTGTTATATATATATATCCTCATTGGGTTTTTCAATAAAGCTAGTAGTGCACTCAAGCACGTGACACTGAAAATTCTGTTTTACTTGTTTAGCATCTCTATGCATATGCCTTAACACACTAATCTTAGTGTTTTAAAGATATAGGCCTATGTTGACTTCATAAGAAATATGTTTCAATTTTATTTCACACACCCAGCCAATACTTGGTGTTAAGTTTTATAAATTTAAACATTGAACAGATGAAAGTTTTTTGCAGGACTTGCATATCCTCCTCTGTATTTCTATAGTGGAGGAGTTAAAGAGTTCCTTGCTACAATTAAGCAACATGTTGTTCTTATGAGGTTGGTTTCTGACTTTTTGCCTTGCTTATCCATTTGCGTTTTGTATTTATTAATCATTTACCACCAGTCTATTCATGAGACATTTAAATGATTGCCTTAAAAGTCTTGATTTTTGTTTTTCTTTGGGGGAAAAAAAAAAGAAATATAACACTTCATCTCCAAGATTGAAATTGATTATTGAAGCATGTTTTAAATCCCTTAGGGTAACCATTTGTGTGACTTAGTGTACTTTTTTTAATTAATTTTTTGCACTTTTTTCTTGTTTTAGTTGGTGAGCTTCTTCCTACTAGTTTATTCACTTTTCAGTAATTTTCTCTTTCTGTTTTTGTTAAAGATAAGCAAGTTTGGCAAATCATAGCGATCGGTAGGTGTTTTTTTTTTTGGGTAGTACATCAAGTGTGCTAAAATAGTATCTTCATTCTTTTTGTAAGGCTAACTTTTCTCCCTTGTCTCTTCCTGATCACTTTAGGTAAGTTGTTGCTCCTATTTTTTTTCCTGAGGATTTTAGTTGATATTTTTATTCTGGTTTATGAAATTCATGAATCTTCATTGTGCTTGTGATTGCCATTATGAAGTTTCTTATATGACTATGTCATGAAATTATATGAAAGACTTAACCAGTCTTGATACCTGGTGCTATGACATATCTCATGACATCCTGTTAACTGCATTGCAGTTTATCATGTCGGTCAAAACCGGCCATCTATGTACTGTAGTTTTATGGATACCCACTAGCCTTTTGCTATTACACATGCTTTAATTCACTCATTTATGTACTAATTCAATTTATGTGCTTTCAGTTTCTAATTCATTTCCATCTTTGAATTGGACTAAAAATTACATTGCGAGTTTGCTCCAAAATCTTTCTGTTTTGAGCTTTCTTGAGTTCTAAATGCAGAAATTTTTAATATTTTCCTCCATTATGCTGGATTTTTCCAGATCTGCAGATGATGTAAATCTATTTCTTGTCAATGATTTTCAAGGTCCTTTGCAGGTATGCAATATTCAAGTGAAGTTATTTGATTAGTTTTAGAGACTGGATCACTGATGCCTAATCCTGTGCAGCAGTATCAACATGTATAAAAAATGCATATGTAACTAAAGATACATGTCATGAGTAATGTGTCCATCTTACTAGTCCCTGTAATCAAAGTATTTAGTGATGGTTCAGACTTCAGAGAAATATATGTCACCTTCCACTATGGGAGCATGAAGGAAAAATCTTTAAGTTTGGAATTTCCCCTGAGGCTTATGAAGTCTCAATTTATGCAAATGAATTCTATACACACCAATTGTAGCAATTGCAACAGCAACAACAATCCTTACTCCACTAGGTGGGGTTGGTTACATGGATTGTATGATGCTATTATGCTCTATCATCAACCAAACTTTTAGAAATATTGTGAAGTAAGAGATCTTGAATTCTATGCTCTATTATTTTGCTCACTAAAGATTCTCATGTTTGGATGGACTTTCAGAAAACTTTATCTTCTTTGGAGCTGCCCAGAGCCATTCCTCTTGCATGTGGTCCTTCAAGTACATCAGTTGATGAGTCCACTTTAGATGAGAACCAAGGGAGTGGCGTCAGTGATGGAAGTGCAGGTGCTGGTGCTTTTCATTCTCACAGGAGACCAAGAAATAAAGTTCATGATCCTCGGGATCTTTCTATTCAAGTTTTGGAGAAGTTCTCCCGTGTGACCAAATTTGCCCGTGAAACAACATCACAATTATTCAGTGAACATCATCACAGTAATGGATATGATCTCAATTACAGAAGAACCAATATCCACACTCCAGCAGTCCCTGGTTATCCCCAGAAATCTTCCAGTGTTACAGGAAAAGTTCCTCATGAAAGTCCTGCTGCCTTGCATTCAGAGGTAAACATTTATTGCGAACTTAGTTTGAATATCAAATCACTATTATCATGATGACAGGACACTTTGTAAAACTTACACAGTATGTTTGATCCTCGCTCCCCAAATTGTGTCTTGTTTCAGATATTATTATACATCTTCACTCAACTGAAGTAGTACTAGATTTGGATAGAATGACATTATAATTTAGGATATACTTTTATTTATTATACTTTACAATGATATGTTTATGTCTTAACTGTTTTATATTAATTTCCTTATTAATCCAACTATCTCTTGTTTTAGAAAATAGTGTTGTCAATTCGCCCACTCATTATCCTTTACCCTGTGGATGTTCATTTTAGGATATCTTACTCTTGTTGGGTGTATAAAAGCAGTCAGTTTGGTATCCTCTTTTCTAGGAGAGGGGAAACGCTTTTGACATTGTTGAGAAAGCTATATATTTCATCCAGACAGCTTAGGTTTTGTTGATCAATGTTATGCCTGGAACAACCTTTGGAATTTTGGAATTGAGGATGAGATTGTAAATGAAAATCTATTCATTGTCAATATGAAAATGATATCCTCATTGGATGAAGCTTGATGAACAGTCAAGCCCACAAGAAAACTTGCTGGTTAAACTGATTGATGAAGTGGAAAAACGTAGAGATAATAGAATAATTGAGAAAAAAGAAAGAAACTCAGTATTCTATTAATTGTCAAAACTAGCTCCCCCTCTGGTTGCATGGCTGTTTAATGTGTTAGGTAGGACTCTTCTCTTACTACCTTGCTCCCTTGTGTTAATAACTTATTCGAACAGACATAAGTACTTCCTATTACTTACTCAATATGCCTAACATAAACTTACCTAAATGTTTGATAAATTATATGTAAATTGCATGCCCTTATTGTAACAAATATATGGGCTTTTAGGTATTTATGTATAGCTGTCACAAGGGATCAGAAGTAGTGGTAATTAACTTAGTTGGTCTAGGTTCTCATAATAACATTTGTGTACATGCCATATATGCTATTATACTTATGAGTTCATTTTTCCAAAATAGTTAGGTAACTTCTCTTTTGATGAAGACTTGATAGTATGGGATAACAAGTCCCACTTTGAATAGTATCAGATGTTCAATCTGATATTTAAGTAGGTTGGTTCTCTCACCTCAATAGTTAGCTTTTGGGATAGGATTCCCCTTCCTACTTAGGTACCTATCAATTGGTATCAAAGCCTAGTTGTCGGTTGTTCTAGAGAGGGCTACCTATGGAAGGTTTTAATCTACAGGAAGCCGAGTTAAGTGCCATGAAGTGTTGCCACAGGGATGTCAGCTTTTCATGGGGGGCCAATTGATAGAGATTTGGTAGTATGAGATACCAAGTCTCGCATTGAGTAGTATGGGATACTCAATGGGGTATTTAAGTAGGTTGGTTCTCCCATCTCAATAGTTGGCTTTTGGGGTAAAGTTTCCCATCCTACTTAAGCACCCACTATCTTTCTTGCCCTTTAAAAAGTATATAATGTCAATGATTTTTATTTTGTTTCTCTTTTTACAGTTTGATGAATTATCACTTATTTGGGGAAAACCACGCCAACCCCCTCTAGGCTATGAAGAGGTATGAGCTATTTTACTATAAGACACTATTCAATTATATTGAGTCCTTGGATTTTTGCCCCTCTCTTGGAAATGCTTATCCATCTTAATCTTATCATATGATGCTTGGTGTGCAAATGGCTCAATGAAACTGTTCCAACATAAGTAGGGGATCAAATGGTGGATGTACTATGTCAAAGTGGCAATTATGCCAAGTCCACCAGGAGTCTAATTGTGTTTTCTTGGTTGACATAATTTTGTTAAAGATGTTCTCTTCATTTTATTTTTGTATAATGTTCAAATGATTTAAGCGCCTTTGAAAAAAGTATGGGCTCAGCCCACTAGTTTTTACACTCGCCCATAACCTAGCCATCTATTCATTTCATCAGGAATCATGCATATCTGTTTGTCATGACATGACAGACCTTCAAAATATGTTTTGGATGAAATTTCAATCGACACATAATCCCCAAGTGTGTTCTATTTATTGATCTTATTTATATTTTGTTTCCATCATTTTAAAAAATTTGGAGGTGTTAATAATTACTAGTGTCATGCTACTGTAAGATGTTTTTTCCTCTCTAAATGAGAACTTACCTAGCCTTAACTTAGAATTCAAGTATTCTATGAAACTTAGGCAAAGATTTGTTGCTCATGATGCAACTCTGGAACAAATTTATTTCATGCTACTATATGCCAGTTGTTTTTTGTTACCTTGCAACTGACTGCTGACTCATTGCTGTATCTCCATAGAAGCCAAAGATAAAGCTACAGAGATTGTGTCTGATTATATGGTCAATGATGTGGAAGTCATTCATTACAGCTATTGTGTCTGTTTATGATAAATGATGGGGAAGTCATTCATGCTATTTCATTAAGCAATGCTGCAAACGTTGTTCTGAAAGTTTGCAGATGTCATTTGCGTAATGCTTATAGGGTCATGCTTTTGCAGTGGATTACTTTTATTGATTCTGAAGGCCGAGTTACAGATTTAAAGGCTTTGAGAAAGAGGATATTTTATGGTGGACTTGATCACCAATTACGGAAGGAGGTTTGTTTTATTTGGTTTGTGTAATGTGTTCCTAGCTAAGAATTTTGTTTCTAATTTTACTATGGTGTCTTCTCATATTAATAGGTTTGGGGTTTGCTGTTGGGATACCATCCACATGATTCAACATATGCTGAGAGGGAATATCTGAAGTCTGTCAAGAAGTTGGAGTACGAGACAGTAAAAAACCAGTGGAAGGTTTTCCTTTGGTCCTTGTGTGCATTTTGTTCATTCACTTTCTTATCTGCATTCTTACTATTCAGTTGTACACATCTTTCTAAATTTTAAAAAGGGAAGTTCTGTTGATTGAATAGAGGCCAGCCTAATGTTCTTTTGTCTTGCCAATCATAATATGTTGTCATCTTGATTTGATGATCTGGTCTACAACATCTTTGGTACCAGCCTTTCAGATGTCACAAGTCCTTTTGATGTTTTCCGTCTTTCATTTCTAGTAATTTGAATCAATGTATATTATATGCATTTGGATTAAACAAGAGCCTTGGAATTCAGTTTCCTCAACTAAATTTTTACATGAAATTAATTTTCTCTGCAGAGCATCTCGTCAGCACAAGCTAAAAGATTCACAAAATTCAGGGAAAGGAAGGGCCTTATTGAGAAAGATGTGGTAATCTGGAAACTAGTGCAAATGTTTCTGAATTATTGGAATTTCTACAAAAGAAATGTGAAGTGATGCCTTTTCTAGTTATAATGTTTAACCGTTTCTTTTGTCTCTTTATTATTAAGGTTAGGACTGACAGATCAATTGGTTTCTATGATGGGGATGATAATCCAAATGTGAATGTTCTACATGACATACTAATGACATATTCATTCTACAACTTTGATCTCGGTTATTGTCAGGTGAATGGTTTTTGATGCTGGACTCTGGGCTTGAACTTGCTTCTTTTTAAGTTATTTAAGCACCATTTTTCTCTTAATATTTCTCAGTGGTCATTTGATAGGAAAACAATTTAATTATTTAAATGGTTTAAAATCAGAAATCCTGTTTGGTATCTTCCAAAATGCTTTTCAGAATCTCTGTTTGGTCTTCCTGCTTATGATATTACTAAAGGATATCTTTAAGGGCAATATTTTCTGATCTGCAGAATGTAGGGCTGAATTATAGGGATTAAATGTCTTATTATTAGCCCTGATCTTGAATATATATGGATTGGTATTCTTCTGCATAATAACTACCAGCAATCTACACAAAGATTCTGCACATTTTTTTCCCTTCTGTTTCAACACGAGATATCCATAATTTATATGATGTTTTACAGGGTATGAGTGATCTTCTGTCCCCTATATTATATGTGATGGATGATGAATCAGAGGCATTTTGGTGTTTTGTTGCTTTAATGGAACGTCTTGGACCTAATTTTAATCGTGACCAAAATGGCATGCATTCTCAACTTTTTGCCTTATCTAAGGTCTGTTTCTCTCTCTCTTTACAGGCTTAAACAGATGTTCTTTCGTATTTTTGAAGACAGATTACAAATTTGATATATTGTCGAGACTTTTATTTATAAATAATAAAAATTGTTTTAAATGAGTAAAGTTTTGGTACTTATTAGTAAGTTGTGCAGCTGGCTCTGGCATGATTTGTTGTCAGCCGGTTTACCAAGATTCCCAAGTTGTTTAAGAAGAAATCGTCTCTTAAAAATAATCATCATGCCTTACAAATATTGTGTTTTTATATTGCAGCTGGTGGAGTTGCTGGATGGTTCATTGCATAACTATTTCAAGCAGCACGACTGTTTAAATTACTTCTTTTGTTTCCGCTGGATTTTGATTCAATTTAAAAGGTAAGGTTATATTAATTTCTATATTTGTTCTTCTAGGAAATGAATTCTTCTGTTTTTTCTTTTTGTTTTTTTTTTCCATGTATGATTTCAAAATTGTTTGACCATACCAGTGCAAAAAAGACAGTTTTGCTTTCATTTAATTGACAAATGTACCTTAAAGTTTCCTGCAATCTCTGCTTGCTCCTTTGCAAATCTGCTGTTTTTGGGGGTGCTTTCTTTGGGAGCTCTATCCTGAATATTGTTCCTTCACTTAAGATGTCCATTCGCACGGTTTCTCCATGGCTTTCTATTCGGGAAAAAAAAAAAATAAATAAAACCAAGAATGTTATTCCTTCATGATGATTGTCTCCTGCATCTCTTGCTCGATGGTTCTGCTTAAATTAAATGACTTGCTGAAGAGTCGATATGTGGCCTGTGAGTGGTAGATTGAAGCCAAAACTACAATTTTATCTTGCATGCTAATCTTTTGAAAAATGATTATGCTCTAAATGTTATTCCGAGATAATTCATAAGAATTGCATATTTGTTGAGGATAATCTTCCTTTCCTAGAAGAATGTCCCATTATGCAGCTTGGGTCCTTTATCGTAGTTATAATATGTATATATATATATATATATATATATATGTATATGATAAAGCTTTTGTAAAGTTTTGAGAGAAGAGAGAAAGATGGAGTAGGAACAAAAAAGGAAGTGGGTCACAGTTACACATTACGCATTTTGTATCAATCTCTCCCACCAAACTAAGACTTTACGACAAAGAATTCTAGAAGATCCTTACACCAACTAGGCTGCATGATAAGTTTCACATATACTTCCTCTCGATCCCCTCTGTAAAAATAAATTGAGTATTTTTTTGGGGCTAAATATAAGAAGCAACTACCTATTATCACAGCCATCATATTTAATATACAGCCACCATGTCAAACAGTCAGTGTAGCTATTCTTTGAAAAAAAATTAATTCTCATATTTATCTGAAGTGTATTCCTTTTGTCAGTGTAATATAGTTTTTTATTTTTTTTTCTTAAAAAGAAAAAGTCCTCAAGGAGTATATCAACCTTAGACAAGTTGTTTTTGTTCTTCTTCTTGGAGTTGGGGACATTATTTGACCACTAAAGTGCTTGAAGTCTTGTAGACATTTTAACTTTCGAAAGGTTACATCATTTATCAATTTGGTCACTGTGTTTAATTTTCTCAGTTGAAATTAGGCTCATCTGTTCACATCTACACTGTCAATGTATTTAGGGTGTAAACATTGTGGCAGTCAGTCGAGTTGACTAGAAATAGGGACTTTGATTTAGCAAAACCATTCAGTGAAAGGACCATAGTCAACAACAACAAACAACAAGCCTTTATCCCACTAAGTGGGATCGGCTACATGGATTGCAAGACACTATTGTGCCCTATCATTTATCAAGCTTTTAGGAATATTATGGAAAGAACCATAGTCAAATGATTACAAAATAATCCAGTTGAAGTTGATGTGGATATTGGAATTCCACGTTCGTAGTTCTGTTGACCGTAGTATGGAAATCTAGGTCAATTAGTACAGTCAAATCAATAAGCCATTAAATTAGTATCTTAACCCGTTTAATAAAATGCTTTATTTATGACTAGTTTGATAACAATTTAACTATGGTTTTAACTATTAAATTAATAAAAATAAATTCAATTTTTGAATTTCTAGAATTCAAAATCTCTAATTTATATTAGAATATTTTTTATTTTAGATTCTTTATTACATTGCTTAGATTATTTATTAGTATTAGATATTAAAAGAAGGCATTAGATTGGTATTAGAATTATTTTTAGATGAGTATTTAGATTAGTATTAGAATTATTTTTTCTATTAAATTATTCTATTGATAAGTAATAAGATTAATGTATTAAAAAAATTATTAAATTAAATATTATAATATATAAATATTCATATAGAGATAAACTTTAAGGTGTATGAAGTTTCATATTTTATTCTTTAATTTAATTTAAGCTCAATAAAGACTCCATTTAACTCAAGTTGATCTAGATCAAAAGCAAATCTACGTCAGAATAACCCTTCTTTGAAACATTTTGGTAGTACTCTTAGATTGGAATAAAAATAAAATCAGAGCACATGGAGCCATCTCCATATTTTTCTTGATTTGTGAAGAAAAATTATGGTAGGTTAACTGATCTTTTTATCAGTCAATGAAAAAGCACCCTTTAACTAGTTCAATAACCTATCTGGTTTTCAATATCTTGCTGCTGAATATTGGTGTAGTCTTGCATTGGATTGTCTTAATTATGTATCTGCAGTACTGATTTCTTATTAAACAAGGTAAAATTAATCAATTCTTGTTTCACATTACAGGGAGTTTGAGTACGAAAAGACAATGCGATTATGGGAAGTATTGTGGACATATTATCTTTCTGAGCACTTGCATCTGTATTTATGTGTGGCAATCTTGAAACGATACCGTAATAAGATAATAGGAGAAAAAATGGACTTCGATACAATCTTGAAGTTCATAAATGAGCTAAGTGGTCACATTGACCTTGATGCTACTCTCAGAGATGCAGAGGCTCTCTGTATATGTGCCGGTGAGAATGGCGCGGCCTGTATACCACCGGGAACCCCTCCCTCGCTGCCAATTGATGATGGCTTGTTATACTCTCAGCAAGATGATGATGAAGTATTGTAGGAAAATAACTGTATACAGTTTCTCAGTGATACATCAAATAAAAATTTGCTTCTATGTAACTATTATTAGGGGCCTGTAAATTTAATGCATTTGACAATAATTCCGGATATTGTATGGATTTGAATATCCTTTAAAAAGCCCATTTTAGAAGTAGATCTTAAACTACAGTGGAAAAATTAGGAGTTTTTATAATTTTCAGTTCATTAAATGAACTTTTGAAAAATGTTTTTATCAAATTACTTTTGCTAAATGCAATTTTAACAATAGTTTTTGACTAACAAAAAATTAAATGGGCACCTAATTCATGTTTTTACTTGCGTAAGGGGGTTGCTTGTAAATTACTTGCCTTTGGCTTCGACTCACATTGATGATTTCTTTGCTTGAAGCATGTGACGCCAATCGATTAGAGGAGAGGTGTTATTGCGTAAAAAAAAAAAAAAAAAGGACAGCCCACAAGTTCTAACATGGTTAATAAAATAATCTTAAATGTGGTCGAGATACGATAAAATCTCGAGTGGCGATGTTTTTTTTTTTTAAATGTTATTATCTTTTATCGAGATACGAGAGGCGATGTTTTTTTTTTTAAAAAAAAATGTTATTATCTTTTATATGTTTTTTGTGGAAAATCTGAATATTTGAGAAAAATGTAATTACTGGTAATTATGCTTTTCAGTGTGTTTTGATTTGTCTTTGTACTTTTTTCTGATACTTCTAATTCCTTAAGTTTGATTTGTATGCAACGTTAATTGCAATAATTTTAAATACTCCCCCTTTTTTTATAAAAAGTGTTTTTAATGAATCTTGCATATGAATTAAAGTCTGTTATTTAATTGAAATTACGTTAAATCACAATAATTTCACAATTTTGTCCCTAATAATTTTAATTAATATCATGGTGGTTGTGGGTAAAACATGCAATTAATATCTCTCTTTTTTTTATTTTTAAATAAGGATAAAATTGTTTAATTATTTAAAAATATCATGTCACTTTAAATATTTAGAGATATATAATTTTTTTTTTAAAAATCATATATATAAAAATAGAGAAAGTCTGTCCATGAGGACTTCACAAACTTCATGATAACTAGCATGTACTTTTATAACACACACCTGCGCACGCACATACGCGCACACGTTTTGGAATGTTATTGTTGTATGCATTGATATGTGCGGAGTTGTTTGGAGAATTTATGGATATGTTGAGAAATTTAAATATAATGGTATTGATTGCCACCACAATGGAGCTCAGTGGTTGGCCCTTGGTCGGAGGATTGTATAAGCCTTTGGGACTTATGATGACACCTTTCTTGCCAATGGTATATGAAAAGGAACTCATGGTCCAATTATAAGCTCTATAGCCATTAGTGAGACTACGTCTCTCAATTAAAAAACTTGATGTAAATTCAATAAGGTGGAAGAAGCCTGTTGTTTGAATTTTAGAGCGCGAGTTCAATAAAAAAAAAAAGGAGATTATAAGGGAGGTTAATGAATTATCATGCATATTTATATTATGATTATTGTTGTTGATTAACTCTTTTCCCTATTTTATTACTTATAATCCATTCTTGCATAGTGTTTTAAATTAAATACTAGTTACTGAGGCATATCTCACTACGTTTATCAATATTTTAAGGTGAAGGGTTTAACGGTTATCAAGCGAGGACCCATGAGGCCTGAGGTTTCTAGTTTTCTTGTAATTTCGTCCTAGTTTTATTTCATGTGTTGGATAGTATAGTATATTGTCATTTAAGAACACATTCATGTTTGTTCGCTTTTGATTAAAATACTGCTTATAAATTGTTACTCAAGACTAGTATTGGTAAATAGCCTGTGGCACTAGATCGTTACTTGTGACTTGTATTTTGAACTCGATGACTTTTTGGACTTAATACTATAGCTGGAATGACTAATGATTTGGATGAGTTGATGACTCTTGAATTGTGCAATGAGCCATTCTTTGATATCATGAGTTGTTTGGGCTTTTGATTTTGATATTTTATAATCTCTTCAAGTTTTTGAATGGAGTCAATTGTCTGTGAAATATCTTTTGTAAGATTTATTTTACCTATCATGGATATTAACTTAATTAAACTAGGTTACAAGAATCAATAATCTTGAAGATGGAGAACACTGGAGGATAGGAAAATGTTGATGGCCAAATGAGGGTTACCGGTATTAATATTTAATTATCTATATATAGTAAAATTATTACAAATTGTATTATTTACCATTATAATAACATCTCAATGTAAAATTTTATGCACTGAATGAAGTAACGAACATGCTTTTTTGGGCCAACGCAATTCAACATATACTTTAAAAATTAATTCAAATTTATAGCAAAATTGCACCTAGTGCCTCAAAGGAGAAAATAAAATTACACTTATAGCCCAACACATTTTGAATTTATTCTGCAGGTCCAAAAGCCCTTTTTGCAAATACATTTCATTAAGAAAAAACACTATTGCCCTTAATGAGAAAAGACAGCAACAAGATGTTTATATATTTACAACTTTAGGGCCATATATTAACAAGTATCTGTCCATTATATTGTTATTGGATATTTTTTTTTAGGCCAGGATAATAAGTTTGTGTCAACCAAGTTCACAAATTTACAATTTAAAGTTTTAATATTACAAGTATAATTTCATCTATTCACAAACTCAGTTTAAAATCTATGACTTCATATATTTAGAGCTAAATTTTATCGTGACATCAAGTTGAGATTTTTACAATTATATATTCATAAGTTCATAATTTTAGATTCATATATTAACAAGTAATTGTTCATTGGTAGTAGAATTCTTATTTTGAATTGACAAGTTCATCTTGGCTAATTTCATAAATTTACAATTAAATGTTCGAATATTCACAAGAACTAAGTTAATTTATTCACAAGTCAAAATTTAAATTTTATATATGTCTTCATATATTCAGAATTCAAGTTTATTATGATAGCAAGTTCATATTTTTACAACTACATATTTACAAACTCACAACTTTATGTTCACAAATTATAAGTAATTATCTATTGGTAGTGAATCTAAAGTTCTTTCTTTCTTATTAAGAGTAATTGTGTCTTTTTTTCCCTAAAACACATATGCAAAAAGGGCTCTTGAGCCTACAGAACAATTTCAAAATGCATTGAGTCCTAAATGCAACTTTTTCTCCTTTGGGCCTAAGTGCAATTTTCCCAAATTTATAAATACAAGTTTATACTTCTAAGTGAAAGTGGAAGTGGAATTCTTGAAATTTACTTGCTTACAAACCCAATCATCTAATGAATCTAATGTTTGGTGCTTGTTTGAATTAATCAATTCCATCATATTTCTACGAGAACTCAATTTTATTGCTCACTTAAATAAAAATTTTTTATATCACTTCCATTACCATACCAAATATATTTATTATCTCCCTTCCACTTCTATTCAAAACTCTTCTGATCCCCTGTTTCAAATGGGGCATAATTGTTAAGAAAAATTAGATATTATTGTTATGCATGCACTTTTAGTTATATATATATATATTATAAGTAGTGTGACATAATAGCAAAATTATAAAAGAACTTGAGGAGGAAGAAAAGAGTTTGAAGGCTCAAGATTTTTTTTTTTTTTGATAAGGAACAGGGCAAAGCGCTAAAAATCAAAAGAAATTACACAATGGGGGATTGGGACCCCAAACTATCAGAAGCAACTAAGATCCTCAAAAAACTTAGAGCCACCTCAAACAATGAAGAATAGGAAATTCCTTCGTATGTGCTCAAACAAGCTGCGAGCACATGTTTATATAGGCCAGCCCAAAAGTCACGGGTGGTTTAAAAGCGAATGAAAAAAACAACCACAGCTTAATGACAAGTAAAGATGATTAAATACAAGCTGATGACAATTTATAAAAACAGTTTTTGAATGTTGAAATTAAAGGTAATTAATGATGATTAAAGTGTCCCACATTGCATCTAACTCACGCACACAAGGCAAAATAGGCAGATCTCAACTATATTGGCCGTTGTTATGTGCGCAAGCCTATTTCTTTTCATAGTCCATTTATTTGCTCAAATTCTTATTTTAATATATAAACGTTAAGTCATTCTCAATTTGGAGCAATGTAAGACTTCTTTTAGCATGCAAATACAAAAAGTCCAACAAGTTTTAAAGAAAAAAATAGATATTATTGTTATGCACTTTTATTTATATAAATATATAATTAGTACTCCCTTCGTTAAAAAATATAAAACATTTTTAACTGAATCTCTTCTCCAATAAATTAGTTACCTACTTTTTAACTAACTTTATTTTTTTATATTTATCCTTATTAAATACCCTACAATAAATATAAAGTCATTATCAATAAGGGCACTTAAAAAAAAGATAATAATTACATCTCAAAAGATTAAAAATATTTATATTTTTAAATATTTAATTTTTTAAAAAATATTTATATTTTTAAATAAAAAGAGTATTTTTTATTAATTAATTGAATGTCATGCAAGTTTGAGATGACACCATGATAGATACAGCAGGACAACGATACTGTGACTCTGGCATAGACGGCTTCAATGATGCACGGCTATGTCTACTTATCTATATTAACCTCCTACCGATCGCTGTTGCTTCACTAATATAATCTACTTGGAAATTTGAGTTCTTATCCACTGTACTATTGTTCTTTGAGCTGTAACTATTTACGTTCAAATTGGGAAATAAAAGCTTAGGAGTTGATCTTTATTAGAGTTGGATAAAACGAGTAAGCCAAGCCCATATAGGTCATGACCTTCTATACTCAACCCATAAACCCAGTTACCTTAAAGTTGTTTTTTGAAGCTCGATTCACATTTAAAGAACTTCGAGTCGCTCCTGTAAGCTATTTTTATTATTTTAAAATTTTTTAAAATTAAAAATTTCAGTTATAAAATTTCAATTTTTTAATATAAATTATAATGTTTAAAAATTTAAAATAAATAATTGAATTTCAAAGTATAAATATATATTTTAAAATTTAAATTCAATTTAATAATTGAAAATGTTTTATTTTTGAAGGGATAAAAAGGCCTAAAAGCCTAAAAAGGTTGCTTGAGTCTATTATTTAAGGGTTTATCAGGGATGGGCAGGCTTTGAAAAGCCTAATTTCCTTACAAAATGTTGTTTTTTAAGCCCAAAGCCAAA